CTCAATAGGAGAACTGCTGGCCATTTGCTGGCTTTGAGGATGGAAGGCGGCCATGAGCCAAGGAATGCGAGCAGCCTCTAGAAGCTAAAAGAGTCAAGACACTAGATTCGAAGAATGCAGCCCTGCCAACACCTTGATTTTAGCCCAGAGATGAGAGCCATCTTGGACCTCTGACTTCCAGAACTGCAAGATAAATTTGTGTTGTTTTAAGCTATTAATTTTGTGGTAATTTGTAACAGCAGCACATAGGCAATTAATATACTACGAAGTATATATGTATAGACAGGCAATTAATATACTATGAAGTATATATGTATAGACACATATACATGTAGCTGTATATCCACATACATACCTACATGTATGTTAAATCACCTAATGCACCTATTATTCACAGCTGAGCCTTATAGTACACAATAGTTTCCTTTCTTTTTGTTTTCCCTGAAGTTAATAATTACCTTGTGTTTTCATCTGCCTGGTTTTCTTTGTACCTTTTTGCTAATTCCTGCTACACCTTCTAAAGCTGTCCGTATAGCTCTCCACAAGGACGGGCACGTCAAGTCTTAATGTTTCAGTTCCATTTTTTGAGCTACTCATTGTCTTGCTCTCTGCACGTGCGGCATGTTGTAGCTGCCGTTCTGTGACTTTTTTTGTGGTCATCCTGGGCATTCCCTTTGCCTTCCTTCTGGTTGGAGTTCCTATTTCTGGATCTCATGTCTTCCTCCTGTTTGGTTTACTCCCCCATTTGGAACACATCATCCAGGACAGATAGCTGTCAGTATCCAAATCCATTCAGTTCCTGAGTTCAGATAGCAGAGTGCAAACAGTGAGTGACACCTGTGGTTTTGTCAGGTTAAAAAGACGGTTCGATGGTAAAGGGCATAGTGATGACAGCACTCAGCATGCCTGAGTCTTGAGTCACACTGCTTCGTGGCCCTCTATGGTTTCATCTGGCCTCTTTTCACCTTAATTCTGGAGATTCCCTTCCCCCTTTTTCCTGTGTCTTAGGGGACATCTTCCTATGCTTCCTGAGAAAGGATCGTCTGAAAATGTCTTCATTCTACTCATACTTAATGATAACTAGGCTGGGTAAAGAATTCTAATTGGAAAATTTCAAAGGCATCGGTTCTTTCTCTTCTTGCTTTTAGCATCGACGTGGAGCAGTCTGAGGACATTCTGATTCCTGAAGCTTTATATGTCACTTTTTCTCCCTCTTTAGAAATTTGTAGGCTCTTCTCTTTGTCCCAGTGTTCTGAAATTTCACAACGATGTGCCTTGGTGTGGGTCTATTTTCATTCATGGGCGGGACATTCAGCGGCCTTTTCAGTCAGGCAGCTCATGCTTTTCGGTTCTGGGAAGTTCTGTTGAACGATTTCAGTGGTAACTGCCCCCCCTCCCCATTTGTTTCTCAGATGTGGAAACCTCAGCATCAGTTCTCTAATTCCCTTTTCCTTGCTCTTATATTTTCCATTTTTCTTTTTAATCTACCCTTTTCTCTGAGTTTTGCATTTCTACTAGTGTAAATTTTATTTCTAGGAGTTCCTTTTTGTTCTCTGAATGTTCTTTTTTAATAGCATCACATTCTTTTTTCATGAATATAGTATCTTCTGTTTCCTTTAAGTTTTGTTTGGTTTCGGTTTTGGTTTATTTGTTCTGGTCTTCATCTTCCAAATTAGAGGATTCCCTAAGATGTCTGGTGGTCCTTGGCTGTTCTTTCAAGGTTGAGAACAGAGGACTAAAAAGTTGATTGAAAGATATGAACATGATTATGGGGCTTGTTGACTCGCAGATCCACTGGTTGACCTAAACAAGCCTTTTGGGTTCTGGTGTCAGTATCTGTATCCTTAGGCCTTTCCTCTTGGACTGATTAGATTTTCCAGAGGAGGATATTAGGGTCTGGCTGACAGTTTTCTAGGACCCCACTGGGGAGACAGCTGGCAGGATGCCACATCACATGTATAATAACTTCATCTCCTTGGTTTTGATATATTACCTTTGCTCTCAACTGTGCTGCTCGACTCTTTGTGCAAAGACCCTCTGTTTTGTGCTCTTCAGAGAATAAACCTTCAGATTTCTTGGGGGTTTTACTTCTTTTATTCTGTCCTCTTTATTTTCACACACGCATCCTCTTCAGCCCTGTTCCTATCAAGTATTGTATCAAGTGTCTTTTAAGGATTCAGTTATAAATCAGTTTTCATGTGCTGTCTGAAATTTGGCTCTCACGAGTCTGCTTTCCAGACTCCAAAATTTTGTTGGTAGTGCCTCCTCTCTGTTCAGCCCAATCTGTGACTATCTTTTTTTTTTTTTTTTTTTTAATCTTTCTACTAAGTTGGATTTAGAAGATAGTGAAATTCGGTGTGTATATTCAAAATCCCAATTCTTTTTCCACAACAGTTTTGTAATTGAAATAGTGATGATGGTGACCATGTCAGTTGTGATACCAAGACATTTTCATGACGCGATTCCTTAAAAAAGATTTTTTAAGTTGTTCTTATAAATCTTATTCGTGGTCGCTATGGGCATTAGAAGTATAAGGGAGCAAATAAAAGCTGCCTGTCATGGTGACAGGGTCTTGGCAAGGATTTTTCTTTGGTGATGGATTCTGTGGTACAGCCTTTGGTGTGGGTGCGGAGGCGGCTTCCGTGCTTGGCGAAGAACTGTCATGGTGGACATGTGCCGCAGTATTGGGACTGTCAGCCCAGGAGCATGTCACTCCCCTTGGCAGGGCTGCTTGAGAAAAGGAAGCCGTCGGGGTCAGCACCTTGTGATGTTCTGCTTTTCCGTCCTGTTTCCTTCCTCGTCTCACTGGCAACCAGAGGCACTCTGAAAGTGGTTTTTTTTTTTTTTTTTCTCACGGAAGCCCGCTGGATGTTTCTGGGCAGCATCATTTGCCTCTTACTTTATCCCTGGGTCTCCACAGATTTCATTCTGGGGCTCTTGGGGCTCCCGAAGATGGCCCAGCCTTGTTTGTTCTTGGGGTCTCCAAGAGCTTGGCAGGGCCGAGGTAGAAGATGTCTTGTAGATCATCTAGTCCAACTCTCCCATTTAATTGATAAGGAAACTGAGGACCAGAGAAGCCCGAGTCAGTACTAGAACCCACGTCTGCTGATTCTGGGTTCGATGTTCTTTCTAATCAGACTCTGGCTCTCATAGCTTCCGCACCCTTTTGAAGGCGTTGATGTGGGGGTTATTGGGGATGTCTGTGCTAAAAACGGGGAGTGTGTTTGCGGGGGAATTGCTGGCTGCTAATGGATGGTGCCCAGTGGAGGTCTGGGTTGGACCCGTTCTCCAGTGGGCTCTCAAGAGTTGTTTCCATGGGGTGTTGTTGTAAGTTGGGGGACAGAGCTTCAAAGAGACCCCCTCAGAGCTTTAGAGTCAGAGAGATCTGGATTCAGGCCTCTGCTTTGACACTGGAATATGGACAAGTCCTAACTTTTTGAGCCTTAGAGTCAGCTGTGAAGTAGGGACAGTAATAACACTAGTTGCCGCCCAAAAGAAGAATGTCTGTCAGGTACTTAGCTACTCTGTCCCTCTTGTATTGGTCAGCAGATATTCTTCGAGCCTAGCACTGTGCTAAGCTTAGACGTGTGTAGTATACCTGGGGTGTCCTTAGGGCTCACTTGTGGGGCATAGAGCACCTGCAACCTGTCTGGGCCCCTCCTGTCCTGGTCCTAGGGAAGCTCCTCCCAGCTCTGGCCTCCCCCTCCACACCTGGGACAGAGCCAGCACTTGGGACACCTACCTCCCAGCCAGGTGCCCATCCCTGGGGAAGGGGTCATGCCCCTGGGAGACCCAAGCCTGCGATTTCTCTACTTCCTGGTTTTCCAGGGAGCCTGGCTGGAGGGGGCCGAGACAAGGAGCCCTGGTGGGAGGGGCAGCAGAGGGAAGCAGAACCAGGAACTGGAAGGGGAAGGGTGTGGGTGGGCCCAGATCCAGCCTGCCTCCCCCAGATCCAGCCTGCCTCCCCCAGATCCAGCCTGCCTTTCCCTTCCCTTCTCCTGCCAATCCCCTGGCCCTGGCTGGCGCTCTGGACGCAGGGGCTTGGAACACAGCTCCTTCTGGGGGGTGGGGAGCAGGAGAACTGTCTCCAAGTGAAGAGGGTTGAAGCAGTTGAAGCTGAAGCACCCCAACCCCCGGCTGAGGCCTGCGGCAAGGGCTTTGTTATTTCACTGGCTTGAGGCCCACACCTGAGGCAGAGAGGATGAAAATCCCCTAAAATTCAGCTGTGTGTGTTCGGCGGGCCCCCTCAAGCCCACCAATTTTTGAAGGCGAATGAGGCTGTTTCATTTGGGGTGGGGGAGAGACGGGCCTCACATCCTCCCTCTGTGTGACCATGGCTGTGGCCCCTCCCCACTCCGACAGCACTACAAACCCAGGCCTTCAGCCTGTCGAAGGCTGAGTTCAACCTCGGCTTTCTCTGGGCCCAGGCGCTGGTCCTAAAATGAGGTGACATTCATTTCACTACATCCTGTGACTGCTGCTCACTTCCTCCACATGGGGTGGGCGTGGAGTGGGGGTGGGGGCCTGTGGGGAGGACAGATTAGAAGGAAAATGTAGCTGGGCTGGAACCTCTGGGATTTCCCAGGGGGTGGCTGGGGTGGGAGGGAGGGTGCGGGAAGCTTTCAAAGGAAAGAACAGACGTGAATGAAGAGAGGGAGGAGGCGGGAGGTAGCTAGAAGTCCCAGAAGTGGCGCCCACTGTGCCACAGCAGCGGAGGCCCCAGAGAGACTGTTGCCGCCTCAGAGGCAGGAGGTGGCCCTGAGGGAAGCCAGGCAGTGCCGTGCCACCTGAGTCTGCCTCGGTTTCCCCCACTCTCTGCAGTGCTAGGCTGGCCTGAGCTGCTGGTGAGGCTGGGAAGAGGAATGAGGTCAGAGGAACAGGCCTCATAGGCCCACGTGGCCCCGGGGCTGAGGGCCTAGTCCCTGGGAGGAGGTGGGGTTTATGGGGGGCCTGGTTTGGGGGTGCCCTGCCCTGCTGATCCCTCTTCTCTTCCCCCACAGGTGGAGCCATCGGAAGCCCAAACCCACAGGCAGCCTGAGGCAGAGTTTCGCCGGACTTTCACTCAGCACCCGGATCTATGTCTAAGTTTTAACTCTTGCTTACAAAGACCACGATAATTCCTTCCCTGAAGCCAAGCAGCCCCCCAGCCCCGTGCAGCCCCAGCCTGCCTCCCACCGCCCAGCTGCCCGCAATGCCCTCCAGCGGCCCCGGGGACACCAGCAGCTCCGCTCCAGAGCGGGAGGAGGACCGCAAGGTGAGCAGCTGGCTCGGCTGGGGACCTTCTGGGGAGCCCGGGGAGGGGGAGGGCCATCCCAGGCCATGACAGCTCACATGTGCCGAGCACTGCACCGCGCTGCTCAGTCCTCACACAGGGCAGAGGGAGGGCTGATAGCCTCTTTCGGTGACAAGGAAACAGGCTCGGAGAGATCAGATCCTGGTGGGAATTTGAGCCAGGTAGTTAGGCTCCCGGACCCAAGCTCCCCCCCCCCCGCCCCCCGCCCAGTCCCTCATGGTGTTTGAGCAGCGCTTCAGACCCTTAGGTTTGTGTAGTCGCTGCTTCGGCCTTGCAAAGTCCCCAGACCTAGATTCCTTTGGGGACTGACCTCTTGCGAGCTATGTGCTCAGGTGAGTCGCTTTACCTGTTTGGCTGCTTCTGTTTCTTCAGGATGTTCAATAGCTTCTGGGAGGCCAGAGACAAGTTCAGGGGGGACTTGGTAGATATGAGGCCACACGAGAGCTCCCCCTCCTGCACAGCCAGCCAGGCACAAGTCGGTGGTGTGCTGTGTGCTCAGGGTGACACCAGTCATCGTGGAAATGGTGATTTCCCATCTCCCGCCCCCGCTCCGAGTTCTGAGTGTCACTTCTTCCCTTGGAGCTAGTGACTTCCTTGATTTTAGAGCCCCATGAGGGGTGACCTCTTCACTGCTCTGCTGAACTCCAGGACGGGCCTTAGTCAGTTAGAGGAGATTGCAGAAGACTGGCGGGAGTCCCTGCTGGGACCTCACCAAGCCGGGTCCACCCATGTGCAAAGCGGCCTCGAACCTCCAGCACTTGGACTCTGTTTCCCGCTGTCAGTGGAACAGGAAACCCTTTTTTTTCTTTCCAGGAAAAATGTACCAGCCATGGGCCTTCCTGGGGTGTGCTGTATGGCATGCCCTGGTCCCCACAGTTCCCTCTGCCTGTTCCCTTTTCCCTGAGTAGGGGTGAGGAGTGGTGATGCTTGGTCAAATCAGGGAGTAGCAGGTGTGTTCATGGGGCAGTTTGTCTTTCTAGAACCAAGGTGGACACTTGGTATCAGGTGTGGGGCCCTGAGAACCCTGAGAAGTGTCAGCTCTGCTGGCCCCCTGTCAGGGTCAACTCTGAGATTTGCTCCCTGGTCATCCGCCACCACGGTGCTCTGCTCATTCTCAGAGCGTGTTTGTTTTCTGGGTAGTTTCTATCTATTTCGTTTTTGGGGACAGCCCTTGAAAAAAGTGGGGCAATTTATAGATGAGAAAGCTGAGCCAAGTTAGTCTTGGGTCCAGATGGGAGCCTGGTTTACCCCCTCCTGAATCGGAGCCTGTCCCACTGCCCTCCATGTGTGGGTCCTGTTATGGACACACACACACACACACACACACACACACACACACACACACACACACACACACACACACGTGTGTACATAAAGTCCAGACACCTGTCTTTCCAGCCTGGAAGCCAGCTGAGTGCCATGGAGGGGTAGAGACCCAGCAAGGGAGAAGTTGTGGGCTGAAGCCCACTGGGCCCAGCTCCTAGGGGCTACAGGTCATCTCCATCTTTCTGACACCACGAAAAAAAAAACAGGTGATTCAGGTTGTCTCTTGGGCCTTCTGGGCTACTCCTGCCCAGGACTCGGGCAGCGGCAGATTCAGGCCCTGCCACCATAGAGTCAGGGCCATCTGTGGCCACCCATGCTCTCGAGTGGCAGCTGTGGCCGTGGATAATTCCCTCTCCTCCTTGAGCCTGGCTTTGCTCCTCTGTTGGGTTAGGTGACCCTGACCGTCCTCCCCCAGTCCGATGTCCTGACTGGTGCTGACGCGGCTTTGTGTCCATGTACTTGCTGTTGGTAGTCAACTGCCCTCCACAGGTGGGGAAGGTGGGACAGCCGGGCCAAATGCCTCCTGTTACTGGACTGTGCTGCCCTAGGGAACAGAGCCTGTGGCCCCTCCCATGGAGAGCAGCAGATCCAGTGCTCTGTTATGACAGTTCAGAACACAGAAAGAGCACTGGACGAAGAGTCAGAAGTCCCAGGTCCCAGGCCTGAGTATGCCACTTACTGGAGATGTGACTTCAGGCCATCTGGGCTTGCGTTTGTTCAGCTGTGAAGTGGGGCTAGTAACTCTAGCTGTGCCTGTTCTACAGGGTGGTTGTGGAAGTCAGATGAGGTCATGGGCATGGAAGTGCCCTGCAGACAGCAAAGTCTGGTCCAATTATGAGGGATTACAATTGCTATTATTATCTACCCATAGTAACTGCTCTGGCTCAAGCGGCAACAAACACTACGTGGCCCCAGATCCTAGTGCAGATAGAGCGAGCTGGTAGACAGGGGGCTGGGGCACGCAGGCACCCTCCCAGTCAGTCCGCGCCCACAGCGCACATGCTGGCTCACCTGGCACACCTTCCTGGCACCTCTGGGCTGGCTCCTGAAGTTCCCGGGAGTCATCTAGGGAGGGCGGGTAGAGACACTGACGGATGCCCACAGCAGCCTGTGAAAGCCAAGCCTGGGGCAAGGATGCCGTGTCGCTGCAGAGGGGGAAGATGAGCTTGGACTGGAGCCCAGGGAGCTTGGCATAGTTGCCAGGGGTACCTGGCACAAAGGAACTGCTTCGGGCCAGAGGGAAGGGGTGTGGCCATCCATTGGCCCCTTTACCACCTGGCCCCACGTGCCCTTCCAGCCACCCTCCTGGCCACGCCCCCATGCACCTTTCACTCTGGTACTTCCTGGAGCTGCCAGGCCTTTGTTTCTGCTGTTTCCTCTGCCTGCTATGCCCTTTCCCTAATGTTCTCTCCTCTTTGATCAAAGCCCTCGCTTCAGTCTGCTTTGAGTTACAGTTTGTAGTGGACCAGTGGCTCTCAGAATGTGATCCCTATCCGTTCACCCATTGATGGACACTTAGGTTGTTTCTGTATCTTGGCTATTGTACATAATGCTGCAATGAATATAGGGGTGCATGAGGGTGTAGTGCTAAGTGAAATAAGTCAGGAAGAGAAAGACAACTACCATATGATTTCACTCATATATGAAATCTAAAAAAAAAAACAACTGAACAAACAAAACAAAAACAAACTCAGAACAGATTGGTAGTTATTAGAGGGAAAATGTGTTGAGAGGTGAGTGAAAGGAGGAAGGGGGGTCCACTGCATAGTGATGCATAGTAGCCAGACTTTTGGGAGTGATCACTTTGTAGTGTATTTAGATGTCGAATTATACTGTTGTACACTTGAAACTTATGTAATAATGAAAAAATGTGATTCCTAAACCAGCAGCGCCTGGAAAAGTTAGAAATACAAAAGCTGGGGCCCCACCCCAGACCTGCTGAATCAGAAACTCTGGGGCTGGGGCCCAGCAGTCCTGGCCATAACCAGCCCTCTAGAGGATTTGAGCAGTTCTGGTGTGGATAATGCCCAGTCCCACCACTGCCTCTGGAGAGCAGGGCCCCAGGGCTTGACTAGCACAGAGTAGGTGCTCAGAGAATATTTTGCGGATAGGATAGAAAGGAAAAGGAGCGTGGGTAAGACCCCTCCATGGAAGAGCAATCCCAGAGTCCAGGATCAGGCAGGTGGGGTGCAGAGCTGTGGGTGACGGGCCGAGGTGACCACACCATGGCTGGGTGTGCACAGGGAGGTCTGCCTATGTGGTTTCCCCCCTACACTTGCACAGCATCCCTCTCCCTCAACCTCCTCCATTCATCTGTGGGGCAAGAAGGGTCTTCTTGGAGAAGCTGGGAGGAGGCAGGCTTTGAGGGTCTGAGCTTGGGTGCTCTGGCCAGGGTGGATCAACTCGGTAAATATGGCCACAGGAGAGGGAGAGAGAGATGGGTGGGAGGTTAGCAGCAACAGAGCCAAGAGCTTCAGTCCTGGACTAGTGGGGATCATGGAGGTCGGGTGCCAGGCCCTGTGTGGAGGGAGAAGGGAGAGGGTCAGAGGGAGCAGGAAAGGGGACTGAGAGCATTCCAAGCCTTGAGGCTGGAAGGACCTCCTCGGATCCTCAAATTTGAATCAATGACTGGTCAGGAGTCTGAGCTGCTGACTGGGCCCCTGACCTTACTGCTCCCCAACTTCTTCTGGCCTCAGAAACATAACAGCCAAGATGCATCGAGTGCTGACTATATGCCAGGTGCACTTTTAAGCTCTGTACTAGCATTCTCTCATTTCATTCTTACAATTGTTCCGTAAAGTAGGCTCTATTACTTTCATCACTTAATCTTATTAAAGACTAAACTGATGCTCAGAGAGGTTGGATCACATGCCCAAGGTCACACAGCTAGTAAGTGGTGGTGCTGGGATTGGAACCCAGGCAGCCTGTGCCCTTGGCTTCTGTGCCCTTCAGGCTGCTTCTGATGTGAAAGGGGATAGAGTGAATGGTGCCTCCCAGCTGTGATGCTCCATAGTCCCGCCCACATTTCTTCTGCTGCAGATTCAAGTATGTTTGCTTAGACTGAAAGTTGGGATGGTCAGAGGATGCTTTTCTCTGTGTAACAGTGCTCTTGCCCTGGGACGGACATTGGGGCACGTCATCTCCAGCCAGAGCTCACACACACAGGCTAGCACGCATGGTTGTGGGCTCACATGCACACGCATGCTCACATCAGATCCATACTCTTCAATGAAGACCCTGCTGCGGACACACTGCTTCTTACTGTTCTTCCCTCTCCCTCCCTCCCTCCCTCCCTCTCTCTCCCTGCACACATCGCTTCTCTTTCCTTCTCTTCCTTCCTCCCTCCCTCTCTTTCTTCAGACTTCGGTACCTTTCCAGGTACCTAGCACATAGTAGGGCTCCACAAGTCTGTTGGATGAACTGAATTAACATTGCTGGAGGACCTAGTAAGGGGTAGAGGATAGGAAGATATAACTGTGGGTAAGCCAAGCCTACTCTGAGGGAGGTCCTTCCCGGATAGCTTGCCTGCTGGTGGTGGAAACTGCAGGCAGGGAGCACATCTGTGCTGGGGGAGCATAGCAAGTGTGCCTGTGCGTGTGTGTGCTTGTGTGCGTGTGTTTGCACATGTAGGGCTA